GTGGAGAAAGCTGCGGAAAAGACCGCTGTAGCACCGCGTCAGGGAAGGGTTGATGATTCTTTTATGATCGGTCGTTTCAGTCTCTGCCACGTCTACGGTGGAGGAGGTCGACTCGGCCACTGCTGCAGCAGCGTGCAGTGGTCGGTGCAGTGATCCAGAGTTCATGTGTTCAACACAAACGGACAAATGTCACAAACCTGGGGCTGTGATGAGGAGGACATGGACCGGTCTTTAACTTTTTTAACCAGTCGGGTCAGGGTCAAGGTCAAGGTCAAAGTATTCCCCAGGGCGATGATCACATTGAGTATAAAGTATGAAATTGTATAAGAGGAGAAATGAGGTATTTGTTAAAGTGTGTACCAGGGAATGAAGTTGTACTCTGTGAATACGTACTCTGTGAGGAATCCAAAAAGTGACTCCATCCTCTGACCATGAACTTGAGCTCAAAATAAATAAAACAGGGCAGGGTTTCAGGCTGCTGCACTGCAGTGTTGTAGCACAGAAAACTAACTTGTCAGAAACGAGAGGACTCCATCCTGGAGCAGCTTCTGGTCCAGACGAAGGGGAACGTGCCACTGGGTCAGGTTGGCACTGTGGTCAAAGGGTCGGGAGGTTGTCGGCACAGCTGTTGAACCAAGCACGAGAACCAAACCTGTAGTTGACTGTACGCCACTCTGTTCCCCTCACACACGTGGAGAACATTTGTTGGACATTTTCTCAAACTGGGAATTATGGGTAAAATCTTGTTGTGTTTCTTAGGCTTAAAAAAAAAAGTCAACTGAATAATACAATTTTAACCTCCTCTTGTCTCTCTTCTCTGCCAGGATACCAGAGGGTCAGGCGGAGGCCGGGTCCATAGCCGCTGGGAGACTGCGTTCTCTGGAGGACCAGCTGACCAGAGCCAAACAGAAGATCCACAGCTTTCAGAAACTAACTGGAGACGGTGAGCACAGCACAGCGGGGCAGGGCGGGGCAGGGCAGGGCGGGGGCCGCAAAAAAATGTTTTCAAAGAAAGGATTTGGTGCAGAGCTTGGAAATATTAGGCCTGTGATTTGGAGGACGTGGAACCGGTCGGCAGCTGTGCCGGGTGTTTGTCTGCAGCGAGAGTCGGAGTCTGAGCTGGCATTAAACCTGCTGCAGCTCAGCAGTCGTAACGGCCGAGATATGAGAGAGAAGAACGGTCAGAGGGGCAGAGAACCAGTCAGCTGACGGGAGGAAATGTGTGAATCCAGTGATGGAAGAGAGGGGGAGGCGGGGGAAGCGGGGCGGGGGATGGACAGATGGAGAAAATAAAGGACATGTGAGGGAAGAGGGCAGCTCAGGGTCAGCCTTTCCATTTTGCCACGAGGGAAGAAAATTCTAAAAATACCTTCCAGCAGTTTTCCACCCGGGGAGGAAGTGGGGAGCTGTGAAGGTTAAAAAAACAGATTTTCTTTTCTTTTCTTTTTTTTTTTTGCTTCTCTGTCCAGCAGCCATCTTTTTTTCTTCCTCCTGCTCACGGCTGTCTTTCCCCTCCTGTTTTTGTCTCACTGTGGTGAAGTCAACATTGTTCAGTTCAGGCAGGGTTTGGAATTCCTTTCCGTGAATGTGTGTTAGGAAACACATCAGAGAGACGTTGTCATGAAAACAGCGATCAAGTACTCATTATTGAGGTCAGAGCAACACCCAGGAATAACATTTCAATGGGATCATTTTCCTGTTTATACTGAAGACAACACCAGGCTATTGTAGCCTCATTTGATCCCAAGCAGGTCCAATGACGTGAGCCTTAATCAGTTTTCCACATTCTGTGTACTCAGAAAGTTGCTACGCTCGTCGTCGCGTTAAGATAAACAGTCATGTGAGGCTAGGCTCATAACTCGGCTACGGGACGCCTCATACAGGCTGTTACGGGAAATGTATCCAGGTTTACTGATGACTGAGCTGCACGACACTGACTGTGAAAACACTCTATTTTAGCCTTTCGCTACTGGGCTGTTTGTGGATGTCGTGCTAGCTTTTAGCATCAACGTTGTGTTCAGCCTGTGTGTACGTTTTAAGTTGTTAACAAATAAAATTAAAACCATTGTTCTCTGTGGTTATGGGGCTGTTTTAAGGGCAGAAATTAGCCTAGCACATTCCTCTGGGAGGAGCTAGCTAGAAAATATTGTCCGTTTACAATTGTTCTACTAATGGATTAGTGAATTATTAGGCTACGAGGTAGCGTTTACTAGGAACAGCATCATGACGTACTTTTGTTTTCCAGTTACCATTATGACAAAAGAATTGTGAATTGTATCTTATTTAAACATTGAGTTGTTTAAACGTACAGAAAAATGTACTTTGAGGTTTGATCCAGTTAGCTTTATGGCTAAAAAAAAAGTTCCCTTTTAGGTCATAAACTCTAGGTTGCGTTCACAGCAGCTAAAGGTTAAACGCTTTGCCTTTAAAAAAAACCTCTGCAATCAGAAAAGACCACATGTATTTTCTAAAGTACAGCACTAACACAGTGTAGTAATCACTACTTCAACCACATGTTGTCAACCAAGTTGCTAGCTGCTAACACTTCAAACAGCTCCATAATAACAGGTTAAACTAAAGTGTTCGTGGTCATAGTCGTAATCATGAAAACAGAATGTTCTACTTCATAACAACAGTCGTCACAGAACATCTTTTTTTTTCTCTGTTTTTTTTCCGTCTGTCGTCACAGAACATGTTTTTTTTTCTCTGTTTTTTTTCCGTCTTCAGGCCCAGGACCCACTCAGGAGGAGCTGCGGAGGAGGGTGGATAACGGCGTTAAGGAGTTCTGGTACTTTGTTCGTAGCGAGGTGAAGAAACTAGCCACTATTGATCAAAACGAGAGGCAGAAGTACGCTGATACCCTGCTACAGGACCTGGGACACCAGGAGAGGTGAGTGGTGCCCCCTTCTGGTCAGTCTATCTTCCACCATCTTCTATCAACGACTCGTCTGCTGTTTCTCCGTCTGATGACTTTTCACTCCTTGAAGGACAAACCGGTCTTAGCAAAATCCAGCAAATAACCGCGTTCGTCGCCATGTATCAAAATATTCATTAAAGTTTGATCACAGGTGACGCTAGGATTATCTTGGATTAGGGTTTATTGGCTGTCGCACCGAGCCAGGAAATATTGGTTCCACCTGTTCCCAGCCTTCGTGTTGAGCCAATAGCAGTTGGCCGGCGCTCCATGTTTACTACACCGGCCCAGAAATAGAGGAGTTTCCTCACTTCCTTCATAAACCTGCACGTCTTTGACTGAACAGGATGAGTGTTGGGAGTGTGAGGCTGATGTGCTGGGATGATGCTGCATTCACTGACTGAACCTATGGGAAATACATCAGACATTTAGACATAATGACTCATCCTTCAAAGAAATGTTTCAAGGACGAGTGGAGGAGCAGAAACTCTCCTCCCCCCCCATTTTCCCTCATTATTCTTGTGATTATTTTTTATTTGGTTTTTTTTTCCTGATGTCATTTTTATTCACTGCTGCAGTGGTTCATTTGCCATTGTTTTCCCTGAATTATCCCAAATTGTCCCCCTGCGATCAATTTGAAAATCCTAATCTTTATCTTAATTGAGTCCAAGTCACTACTCACACTCTCTCAAGTGTGAGTGTTTTTGCTGTTCTTTGCATTTTTAAAGGAAAACTTCTTTGTTGAAATTAATTATTAAGGCCATATTAATGACTAAATCCATCAACGTGTCCTCTTCTCCGCGGAGGTGGTGCCACGCTTCGCTGACATTTGCTCTCATTTGCTGATCGTACCGACCGGCAAGGGGCTGCTTTTAGTTGTTGCTTGGAGACAGAGAGCAAAGGTCATGTACACACCGCCCATCTCAGTCATCTGGGAAGCGGGCTACACCGCTGTGAATCAAGAAAGGCCTGTTGTCTCTCCGCCAAAGTGGTTTATCGTAATCCCGCTGAAGTGGTTTACACAGTCCACGGTCTTTAGACTGTGCTGCTTTAAGGAGCTTTTCAAAGGCTGACCCTCCTCACCTGCTGCAGACACACACACACACACACACACACACACAGACAGTGATCGTGTCCTGGCGTCCCGGCCCAGGCTGCTGCCCTGCTCTTTTATCCGAGGAGATGACGATTGTGTTTCAGGAGGTTCCAAATTTAATCATAAATGTGTTCTTGAAGTCAGGGCACTGGGTTTCACATCTCTTATCAGCAGATGAAGTGAAAAGTTCTCAGTGAGTTCCAAAGAAATATTCTAAGAGTTTAAAATCTCGCCCGTCAGGCTAAAGAAATCCACGCTGTAAGAGTTTAAAATCTCCCCCGTCAGGCTAAAGAAATCCACGCTGTGGCTCCACAAAGACATTCAGGTCACTTCACCGCTGACGTATTCTGAGGTGGATGGAATTTCATTATATAAATCTCTAAAATAATATATATATTTTTTTCATAGTCATGCTCCAAAATTGCATCTTTTAGTCCCAGGGTATTTTAATAACCGTCTTTTTTTTTTGGTGGTGCTTTTTCTTAGATAACTCCTCTTCTTTATTCTTATAAATTACTTGTGTCCCTCGGCATTAACGTTGGCTGAAAAAATATGGAGGCTCTGGCTCCTCTGTAATAAACAGCCAATCAGGGCAGGGAATGAGTCACCGGTGTACCTGCCTGTCACTCACCGACCTACCTACTCACAGACTCCTAGCCTGGCTCTGGAAGCACATGATGAACCTTCAGAACAAGCCACGGAGGCAGCGAGTGAGTCACCACTAATGCCAGAGAGAGAGAGAGAGAGAGAGAGAGAGAGACTGAAACTTTCCACTTCCACAGGAGTCTCACTCATGGTGTCTGGCACCAGGGACTGTGAGACTGTGTTAATGTAACATGTATTAGCCTCTTGTCAGAGCGTTGCTGGTCTGATGACGTTTCTTTCTCTCTTTTTATCAACATTAATACAAACGGGCGTTAAGGGAGAATTCTGGGTAATTTTGATAAACAAGTTTGATGATAATAAGGTCGGATCTCTTAATGAGACAGGAAGCAGAAACCAAAAAACGATTGGTTTACAAAATATGTAATTATAATAAATGTCGTCGGTTGTATCTCCCTGCAGTACCTCTGCAGACCCCCGGTGGGTTGCACACCACCTGTTGAATCCTCATATCCATAATGAAACTATCTAAATTTCCCAGTTCTAGTTTGTAGATCATACTCAGTTTCTCCTGACACGCTCAAAATAATATTACAAACGCAGCGCAGTAACCGCTGTGAAATCCGTCTTTGCCATCCGACTAACTGACGTTTGTGGAATAAATATATGGAGACATTTGGGAACTCAGCATTTGGACCTCAGGATTATCACAGCAGATGTCATGGACCTGTGGTTATGTCATTCCATCCATCACCTGTCTCACGTGTCGATTGCTTGTTAGGGATTTTCTTTCCCTCCCCACAGGGGGGTGGGGGTGGACGGTTCCTCTGTCATCAATCTCAGGCTGTGGTTCCAGTCGGAGAACGGGGCGATGAGTGATGATGCGGCGTTAGCTGCAGAGAGAAGCGCTGTTCACCATTCTGCAGTGTTAAATTGGGACATGGGCATATTTGTCAGCTCTGTGCCTCTGTCTTAATATATGCACCAGAACACCCGAGTCACACAGGATGTGACTGATTCAGGTCAAAGACGTGGGGAGTAAATGAGGCCCGCCTGAGCGTGTGGTTCTGATGTGTTTGCGTCTGCCCTCGGCTGAACACATCACGGCGTTTGGGCACATTGGTTAGTGGATGGTCACAATATTTGGCAGCATGTGAGGCGTGCGCAAATTCACTGTCGCCAGAGTCCAGATGACAGATTATTGTGAGGAGGCCAACCACCCAGAACCATGTCATCGTCAGTCAGCTCTTCAGGAAGAACGCGTTTGCTATAAATATCCCGTCGAGGCGACGCGTAAACCACCACTCGCTGCAGCGTGTGTTATCTGCTTGGTTTCTTCCTATTGGTGGATTTCATGGCCCTCAGGAAGTGTCTCAGCTTACCTGGAGTGCTTCAATAAGGGGGCTGCAAACTCTTGGTTCAGTGGACCGCACCAGTACAGTCATAACGTAATTGCTTATAATTAACAATAAGTCCATGTTTCCCCCTTAGTTTCAATTCAGAGAACTAGAAAATATTCATATTTGATGTAATATAGTTTTACAGAACATCATGAAAATGGAGTATTTTTTATTATTATTTCAAAATTCATCAACCGGCCCGGATTGAACTCCCGAGCGGGCCAGTTCAGGGCTGTCGGCCTTATGTTTGACACCTGAGTCATATGGGGTCTTGAACTCCCGAGCGGGCCAGTTTTGGGCCGTGGGCCATGTTTGACACCTGAGTCATATGGGGTCTACAAAGACATTGCAGGGACGATATATTTTTGTTTGTCTCATCAAAGAGGACGAACACAACGTCACTCTTCCCCAACGACAAGAATTCTACAGGGACAGAAAACCCAGAATTGGTTTTAAACTAGGATCCTGTTCGGTGGAAAATGGCTGATGAGTGGACGATGAAGAAAAACTTTTAAACTTTCTTATCAGTATAAATGTTATAAATTAGCTTGTCCTCTTTGTCATTGTCTGCTGTCTGTCGTCTTTGTTGAAATGCTAGTCTAAGAAGAAGAGCGCTGCGGCAGAGATGTTTAGCTGTCGCTTCATTAACTTTCCTCCAACTCCATGATCCTGAATGGCTGCCGGCACAACGCTCATTACTGTTTGTCTTAGAATGAGCCGAGTCAGCAGAAACCTCTGCCAAATATCACGTCCACGGAAAATAAATGACCACCTCCCACCTGGTGCCATGTTTACATCATTACTGATCAGAGCCAATCAGAACCTGGTTCTGTTGCAGAGTCACTGGTCCAGAAGGAGAACGGCGTTCGATTCTGTTTCCACTGCAGAAACAAAAACCAGATGGTTGTCGGCGTTAGTTTTTTAACTGGTGGGGGGAAATATTTTTCAGCTGCAGTGTTGATAAGAGATTCTATCATTAAACCCAGATGTCAATCAGGCCCGGGTTACGTCAGAAACCCGAGGGCGTGGTTTCCTGCTCCGTTAGAACAACACTTAGAGACAAATACATCGGCAGTTTTCACTCCCTTAATGGTTTAAGGGATTTATTGGGCCGTCGTTATGGGATTAAAACTGTAGAAAATAATTATTTACAGAGTGATGTTCCATGACAGATCAATATTTAATGACTCTGTATTTTATAAAAAAAAAAAATTAAAAAAACGTCTGAAATCTGTAACTAATCCTCTGAACTGTAGTAATGACCTAATCTTTCAGGCGTCGACATTTTAATGGTGTGGTATAAAAATAGACAAACACTGAAACAACAGGCCCTGGAGTTGAGGGACCTGGCAGGTGTGTCGGTGATGGTGTCCCCTAGGGGGAGCATGGCAGAAAATAATTGAGAAACACTGCTTTAACGCATCACCTCAGTGAGCAGGCGGCACTTAGCTTCCTTCACCACCAGGGCACCACTGCCCCGTTATATCAGTATCGGCCCTGTGTCTCCTACAGGGGGTGGTATAAACACAACTCAATGCGTTTGTAGCATTTGTACCTGAAATGCTAACAAACAAAAGGTTTAAAGAGAAAACACAGGCAGAGGGCAGTATTCAGGAGAGAAAACAAAAACATTTTTCATTCTTGTGTTCTTTATCTAACAAAGAATAATACCAAATGGGGGCGCTGCAGACATTGGTGTGCGCAGTCATCTGGTTGTTTTTTCTCCTCTTTATTTTTTATGTCTCTTTCTTCCTCATGAATCCAACTCAGTAACAGAGTTTGAAGTGTTCATTTTGGATGCTGACACTACAAAGGCACGAAGACCTTACAAACTACAAACAGTACCGGTTGACACCTGATCCAACATTAAAGGAATTCCTAATTAGAGCTGCCAGCCCTGCCTCTATATTTATTTTCTTTATAGTCGTGCACTTTATTTTTATTTATTTTAACAATTCATATCTTTCCATTCTTCCTCCTGCTCGTGTGATCACACACAGGTTGCAGATGGCGCCGTGTTAGCGTTTGCCTCCTGACCTTGAACTCACCTTGACATCCGCAGCTGCCAGTGTGCACCTTTGCGTACAGAGGAGAATTCGTACATTTGTTCTCCACTTTTTCAGGGAGGTCTATTAGCATGACAGTTTCACCGCTCGTCCTTCGCACTCCTGCTGGATTCTGTCGCTTTTCATTGTTAAAAGGCGTTGAGAACTGGGCCGTTGTGTTGTGTTTGACAAAACCTGTTCATAAATAAATAAATAGATAAATAAATAATGACAATGTGTTCGCCAAGGCCAAGTGCCGGCCTCTTCAGAACAGACCTGTGACAAAAGGGACTCCAGGCGCGTCGTGTCAGGGATAACGTCCGACCATTTTACAGAGGAAGTGAGTTTCTACGTGGCACTGACGCCGGAGCAGCAGTTGTTTGTATCGTTTAGTGTTTATGTTCAGCCGCCTGTGTAAATATGAGCATAAATACTTATTACTTTAGCCCAGAGTGTGAAGTTATGTCTGCATCTGTGTGTGTGTGTGTGGCTCAGTGTAAAAGAAAATACTTCAAACTGAAGCAGTTCCTGTTTAATTCAGCTGCAGGCTGAGACGTTACCTAAAAGAGAGCAGCGTTTTTTTTTAGTTTTTTTTTTACCCTTGTTCAACATTGGGACATTTGACATTTTAAATGTAATTTTGCGTGAAAGTCAACATGTACTGGAAGGAATACAAGATCTGTGTGTGTGTAATGTCACAAAGGTTTGACCTGGGATGATGTGAAAATGATTGTTTTATAATTATCCTGTCTAAAGTATTTATGGTTTTTAATTAGACTTTGGTCGGCGTCGGTGCCAACGACCAAAAACCAAAACATTAATATTAGTCTGGAGGGTGTTTGGCATTATTATATTACATATATTTTTTAAAAAATCACATTTTTTAATATTTATTTTTTGTTTGGTTTTTTTGGAGGGTGTTTCCATGTCCAAAAAAAAAAACGATCATTTTGCTTCTGGCCACAAACCTTTTTTTTTTTTTTTCTGTCCTCAGGTCCATCATGACAGACCTATACTACCTCAGTCAGGCAGACGGAGTGGGAGAGTGGAGAGTGAAGGAGGCTAAAGACCTGTCGGACCTGGTCCAGAACAGAATCACCTACCTACAGGTGAGGACGGCGCCACCTGCTGGTCCAGCAGCTGGCTCCCACACATGCAAACACACCACGACAGGAAAACCACACGATAGCACGAGTTTGCATTTTTTTTTCACCCTGGAATTTTGATGACATCACGCCCGTGTGTGTGTGTGCGTGTGTGTGTGTGTGGTGTCACCTCATCCGTAACTGTCTCATTAAGGGTGTGGTAACAAGCTGTTCTAACGGGTCGTTGTTTCCAGGACTTCTCCTCACACACTTGAAAAACGCTTGAAAAAAATTAACGCATTTCTGAAGAGAATCCAAAGTGTTTTATTGACATGTTTTTTATTAACTTTTCATTTCCAGAAGTTTATTTTTATTCCAAACCAGAACCTTTAAACCACTTGGTTATTCAGACCAAACCACCAGTAACTAATTTGTGAAGTAAATCAAATTACAGGCAGCTCAGATCATGAGCATCTCCATCCGACATCATTCCAAGGGTCTGAGGTTTTTAGGGAAATCCCTTCATACTTTTCCAGGAGAGGCACATAGAGTGAAAACACACACAGGGTGATGAGATACACAACCTGAGACCTAAGATACCAGCAGCCCCCCCGCCCTCTCTCTGATGCTGCAGGGTTCTTGTGTGGGCCGGTGCGGTGCGGTGCAGCAGCGGAGCCTGCAGCATTAATGAGCCGCTGTGTTTGATGAAGAGCTCCCAGTCAGTGTGACTGGGCGGAGACGGCACCACTAACAGCTGCTGTCACCACCGCTGAGGGATCACACCGCTCAGGCAGCTGCCATCACTAATTCATCACACACACACACACACACACACACACACCACGTCCAACGTACACACATGGATTTGACCGCACCGACGCAAGAACGCGTCCGCATCGAGTACGCACACACACTCAATTCCAAGACGGAAACGTGCTTGTATGGAAAGAGCTGCTGCCTGTGTGTGTGTGTGTGTGTGTGTGTGTGTGTGTGTGTCAGACACACACACAGATGGACAGACAGACAGACAGACAGCTCCCTGGTTTCCTGCTGTCTCACCATCAGCACCAGCCTCTCCTTTCATTCCTGGTTTAACTAACTCCATCTCTCCATCTGCTCCATCTGTCCACACACACACACACACACACACACACACACACACACTGAAGTCTGAATCCTTCACGTGGAAGATTCTGTCCAGTCATGAACATCTAGTCGTCCTGGGCCACTGCGTTTTCTAAATGTATAAATCAAAAACTCAAATTCCCTCCTCAGTCTGCCCTTCTTGGTTTTGGTTTCTGTTTTTGTTGAATTTTTGATTTAGTCGTCAATAGTCCCTAAAAATGAACTCTTGGTTTCAAGACATAATACTGCACCCTTGTGGCTAAGCGTGACAATTGGTACCTCAACACGGTACTGTTGGATTAATCCTGGTTTTTTCCAAGAACCGTTGAGGCATCACTGTTCTGCCACTCGGTCTGATAACTTGCAGAATTGATCAAATATTCATGTCCGCTCTGATAACTTGCAGAATTGATCAAATGTCCGTAGTCGATCACATCTCGTTTGGGAAGATGAATTAATTAAAGGGAAAAAAACTCAACATTCTCAACAGTCAGAGATTTAAAAAAACCTCTCCTGACCTGAATGAAAATGATTCAGCGACGCCTCGGTCAATGATCACATCAACCGTGCTCCATTTTAACAGCTGTTACCGTTACCTCCAACGAACTTGTCTCTGGATGCACGGAAATTTGTCTGAGCGTCAGCGTCAGGTGATAAACTTCAGCTCGCTGATTGGTCGTGGTCCTAAAAATCCACTCTACCCTCCTGTCCAGGCAGAGACACAGTCGCTGAAGTGCAGCAGCTTTCAGCCTGTGGTGAGGGAGATATTCCCTTCATGAACACAGAGACAGGACAACACAGCCGTTCTGTTATAGGAATATATGACAATAACATGGTTTGAAGTACTCTGTGAGTATTTCCCTGTAGTAATCTCCACACTGTGTACAATCAGACCATGCAGTACCACATCTACCAGAATGTTCTGTTCCATTTTCTGAACTGCTGAGAGAAATGCTTGGCTTGCTAATAATAATAATGCTGGTATGAAAGTCATATTAAAACGACAAATTCATCAACTCTTGGTCCAGTTAAAATTGAGCTCATAATCCTCAAAAAAACAAACCTCAGCATGCAGAGAGAAACTGTAAACATTCCAGACCAAATGAATAGTCTGTTGTCTCCTCTGTCCCAACTAATGCATCTGTGAATGCCCACAGTTGTGGGGGAAAAGGCAGAGTCAGCCAATAACAATGAAACCCACTGTAAATGGAGGCAATTATAGAATACAACACATTAAGTGAACGCTGTGGGCTGACGCTGCCGGCGCGGCCGAGTATCGGAAGATCAGCTTTTTATGTTTCATGTTTGCTGCACTTTTTTATCTGAAACACAAATGTTTCTAATTAGTTTGAAGTTTGGTGATTAATCAATTCATTGCAATTGATTGATTTGATTAAAAACAAATGTCCGAATAAAACATGGTAATAAAACAGAAATCAATTCTTGTGAGATGAGAAGTTAAACAAAAGAAGAAACAAACTTTATTTTTTTACCCTGTCACCTTGTCTGTTCTGTGCTGACCGCAGGCAGAAATCGTTAAAGCTAATCTCATAGCCACTTTTAGCTAATGTGAGCTGCGGTGGCTCAGCTTCCAGCAACATGTTTTGCATCAAGTTGAAGTGCTGCGGTGATAACGGAACTCTTTGTTGCACAATCAGCAGAAAACCCTGCTCTTATCTTAGCTGCCGTCGGGAAGATTTAGTTAAAAAAAAAAAAAAAAGATTCATCAAGCCAATCACTGTGGTCGGCTCTTCTCCACTGTTCACCAAATCTTCTTCTTCCCTGATGTCACTCAGACAGGCTGAGGCTGGAGAACTATTTCTTCTATCGCCATCTGCTGGGCTGGAGTGTGTGCAGATGTAACCGTTGTGAATAAATATATTATTTCTTCTACTTTGATTTATTAAAATCTTAGCAGAAACTTGAACTAACCTGAACCTGAACTGAAGATTTACAAATCCAAATGTTTGAGTCTGAGTCTTTAACCTCCTTTAAGTGTGTGAAAAACCAGGCTTTTTTTTTATTGTTGTTATTTTATGTTTCTGACCTCAAACGTCCCACAGCGCCCTGTATGTTCACAATCAAGAAGCACAGCATTGTTCCAGGTACTTAACCTACGGTTCCAAGTGGTACTCTGGGGCTGCCTTTGTGCATTCATCTGCCGTTATTATCCTTGAACCCGGTCTCCGGTGTCCCCTTTCAGCCCCATCATCACAGAGCAGGGACCCTAACGCTGCCACGCCGCTCGCTCCTCATATCGTTTTATTGCAGACACGTTGGCTTAGATGTGAACGTCCGCTGACAGAAAACAAGTCCAAAACAGGGTCTTTTTGTCGGAGCGTCGCGGCTGCAGATTATTATTACAGTGGGTTTACACAGACGGGGTGAGTGCAGCGGCGTGTCCTGTCTGCTGCACTGGGTTCATGTTATTGAACGGCGGTGGCGTTGATCAGCTCTCAGCACCTCCAGGTACTCCACTCCACTCGAGGAAACGTTCTAACCTTTCCTACTCTGTCCCCTCCTGTCCTTCCCTCATTCTGGATCTTTTTTTCAGACATCGTTCTCACTCTCAAACCTCCTCTCATATTTTCATCATTTCACTTTCCCCCCTCCACTTCCCATGCCTCCCCCCTCCCCCCCTTTCCAAAACCATCCACAGCTGCAGCGGTCTAATGAGGAAAACACTCCCATCAGCTGGTAATTGCTGTTTATGAAGGTGGTTGGCACAGGAGCGTCGCAAAATCACCCAGACTGGCTGCCGAGCCAATCACGACCTGCGATTGTCACGGCAGCCCAAAGAAATGTCTTGTTTTGTTTTCACGAGGGACTGGTATTTTTAATCTGCCACAGACTTTGTACGATAAAAAAAAACATATGAGAGGGATTGGTCAATGGAAATAAAAATGGGAGGGACTTCAGAAGAAAGAATGAAGGTCAGGATGACAAACAGCCAATGGGAATGACATGAAAAAGGTCGAGAGGTCATGGTGAAATGACCTTGTTTTGTCAAGGAGCTTCAGAGAAACCTCGGTTCAAGGGTCTGTGGTCACCACTGTCTGATGGTCGACTCAGACTTCCCACTTCTAGAAACTTTCCAAAATAGTTTTATTAGTTGAGGGCGTGATGGATGGATGGATGGATGGATGGATGGAGTGCGTGGTTGTTACTTTTCCAAGTGGGGTATAAAACCAAGGGTCAGGCAGTGCGAGGCGTTGAACGTTGTTTCTCTCGTCCCATTCCCAGAACCCCCCGGACTGCAGTAAGGCCAGGAAGCTGGTGTGTAACATCAACAAAGGCTGCGGTTACGGCTGCCAGCTCCACCATGTGGTCTACTGCTTCATGATCGCCTACGGCACGCAGCGAACGCTCATCCTCGAGTCACACAACTGGCGCTACGCTCCCGGCGGCTGGGAGACCGTCTTTCTGCCCGTCAGTAACACCTGCACCGACCGCTCTGGCGCCACCACTGGACACTGGTCAGGTCAGTACACACATTTGTGCCACGTTCTGTGACTACATGGTTGGTAATCATAAAAACTCTTTTTTTTTTTTTTTTTTCTTTTTGCATGATCCTATCTTTAAAAAAGAAAAAAAGAAATTGGGTCGGCCAGGTTTTTTTTTTTTTTTTTTTTTTTTCCTTTCTTTGTGCTGCTGCAGCACCACAGAAGTGTGAAACCTCATGGCTAAGCAGGACGATGCAATTTCTGTTGAAGCACTTTGGCAGCGAGTGTAGCGGCAGCAGGTTAGTGCTGCGAGCCGTGACTGCCAACCAAACGCCCCGGACTGTATATCAGTAAACAAGTCTCCCCTCTGACTTACAGTACATTTACTCCTAGACTCTATGAAGTGGAGTAAATCTGTCGTCTGCACAGTGGCTCCTTATCATCTCTGTTCACACCTCACATTCACAATGATCTGAGAAGGACGTGACGTTGGAGATGTTTGCTTGGTTTTTTTTTTCCACATCCTTACTGAGCAGATCTTTGTGTTCCTCCAGGCTGTGACTTACCCTAAATATTAGCCTCCTGGGATTATGGTACACAGGAACATTTATATTTAGTTTCTAATTAAGTCATTTTTATAAATAATGCCTCTTTTTCATTACAGCCACAGACGTAACATCAGCAGCTGTGAAGTGAGAACAGTGTTTTTTATATAATGTATTTTAATATAAATTTTCAACTTTTATCTGGTTCAACAGTGTAGCGGTTAGCACGCTTGCCTTGGAAGCAGCGATCAGGGTTCGATTCCCAGAGGAGTCGATTGTCAGACGATTTTGAAAATGAAAAAATGAAAAAATGTAATAAAGAAGAAGTTAAAGCTGCTTCATTTCACCACAGTTCAGGAGGTCAGAGTTCACCTTCCATTTACTGCTGGGCTCTTTTAACCAATGAACCAACATGCCACTAGGTGTCAGTAAAAACATGTTCTCACCTTTGCTGTTATTTCTCTGGCCCTGATGAGGTTACAGGAGTAACACCCTGCACTCCTGTGTGTAATCTCAGTAAATACACACACACACACACACGTTTTACATTTGAATCTTCAAGTGACAGATTTCATAGTGTACGCAGTTGCCTTACACGCAGAGGGTCCTGGGTTCGAGACCCGGAAGAACCACATATCCCTAAGGGCAGCCTGTGAGTAACCCAATGGCGCCTCCTGTGGTGGAGGTGTGTTGTGAATTTTTACCTTTGAACGAATGCTCTGTTAAGGCCTGTGTTCAGAGGAAGACCGTTCTTCTGGAACCTTGGTTTCCTGCTCACAGTTCTTCTGGAACCTTGGTTTCCTGCTCTGTACCGTGTTATATGTGTCTTATTCCTGAGGTCCCACCAGGCTAACACTACACAGTATCTGTAGTAGTACTACAGTACTACAGGCCTTTACAGAGTAACTAATCGTCCCTTTGAAATCAATCAAACAATCAATTATTCATCTCCACACCAGGCCGGTCTAATTTATACCCACCTCAGCTGTTCCTGTGTGAGGTGCAGGGTTAACCTTGTCTCCACAGCCAGGAGTGTGTGTTAGTATTCACTGGACTCACCCGTGTGTCTGTAGACTCTAAATCCTGTTATTTATGGCCGCCGTTGGGATTGGGCTCCACCAATGAGCTGTCTGTAATGAACAGCATGTTCTAGTGTGAGGCCGGTTCATATGTATACCTGCTCCACCACACCACCTCGGACCAGAGATCAATGTTCTTGTCTGGAGAAAATGGATTTCCCTGCTAACCGGGATTGGAGCGGCACCAGCAGAAACAGCAGCAGCGGCAGCAGCAGTAACAGCAGAAGCAGTAACAGCAGCAGGAGGAACAGCAGCAGCAGCGTCTGAGCTCCAGTCTGCAGACAGGCGTAGACTGAACTGCTGATTTTTAAGATGATTAATGAATTTTGTGTGTGTGTGTGTTCAGCTGACAGCTCCACAGCCTTTCTTTAATAATGATGATGATGATGATGATTTGAAGGCTTTTCAAAGCGGCCGTACCTCCCTCTCTGTCTCCTCCTCCTCTTCTTCCTCCTCTTGTCACTGCACACTCCTCCTCAGCTCTTCATTTCTCCTCATATCACTTCATTTGACTCTCCTGCTCTCCTGGGCCGTCCCTTCTTATCTCCAGCTCTCGCGGCTCCTCTCCTCGCTCTCACTCCCCCCTGCCTTTCATGTGTCCTTCGCCTGCTATCTAACGTCTTCCTTCAGTGTTCTAAAAACAGGCTCCTATAGATCCATAACACTCCGTCTGGAGCCTATGGAGCGGACAGCCCGCTCTGTAAACACTGCGTCTCCTCGTCCTATTAAAATCCCTCCGTGTGGACGCTTCTCCACGCCCGTGGCCATGTCGTTTTGTGAGCAGTGCGGCCGAGAACAATCCTCCAGGTGCTGTGCGACAAAGGCGCACAGAACTGGGGAATAGTAATTAGATATAAGCGGTGACTATCTCTTTAATTAACTGCAGTGTTTTTTCCCCGTCTCAGCAGAATTCCCGTGTTGTGAGTGCAGTGAATACTGAACCTGGTGTTTGTTACTTAACATTCCGATTGTAAAAGCTGGGACTTTGACTCCGTCCTTCCACCCAGCGCTGCTCTGGGTGTCGAACGCTGAACGCCATTCACAGTCAGGCAGGGTTTCCACTGAGTGATCACTGAGCCACCGCTTCAGGACCAGGACAGAAGAGCAGACGTACAGTAGTGGTAGGGTATCCTACATATTGAACCTCATAAAGCGTCCTGACCTGCTCGGCTCTGACCAGGCGTGTGAATCAACATCTGAAGTTGTAAAAGTTTACCTTCTCGTTAGGTCTACGTGCTAAAATCACCAGCTATCTCCGCTGAAGTCGGCTTCATTTTGGAAACGGCGCTGATGGCGATGTCTGTGTCCCAGCATCGTGGTTTGGTATCGCAGCTGTGAAGGATGAAAAAAAAAAAAAAAAGAAACCACCTCACCGTGTCACCGTGTCACTAACACTGAGAATTCTCTGTCAGACCTGGTCAAAGTCAGACTCCTGAACACACACAGCCAGGAGGAAGTTCTCCTCTGGTAGAACAGCGGTTCCATGATCAAAAGGCCATTTTGCCAACCAGAGAGTTTTCCTTTGAGGTTGACGGTGGAGATATTACGGCTACGACGAGTGAGTCGACAGGAGAAACATAACGTTCCCTGTCATTAAAGAACTGGAACAGGATTTCCTCTAAGTTCATAAACTCGATCTCTAATGTATTATAAATGGAGAGACTCCTGGTTTTGAGGACTTGTCGCTCTCGCTCTCCCACAGCAGTCATCATTACACTTTTCAAACAAAGTTCTCCGCGGTCCGTGCTCCGCGGTCCGTGCTCCGCGATCCTGAATCACCGCTTCAAAAAAGGGCAGGAATCGTAGGTCAGTTTCACACCTTTCAGCTGTGGTGCGTTCAGGAGCCACGGAGTGGACGTGGAATCAGGGAGAGCTCTGTGATCTAATTAAGTAGCCGTGGGAGGAAAACCAAGTGCACGTCTGATCTGAGAAGCTCTGCACGGCGGCAAAATACGTCCGATCCCTCGGAACGTGCATCAGGCCGATCCTGTTATATAAGCAAAGACGACCGGGGAAATATCTACTCTCTTCAATAATTTATACTCCTACCATTTTATATGCGGTTCACGCTGGAGCGAAGGCACACACACACACACACACACACACACATAAGCAGCTGCCTCTGTTTCTGTCCTTGTTTCTGACGTGTTGTTGTTGTTTTTTATGTCTCCTCCCAGTGAAAGGCCATTTTTAATGACTCATTATGCCATTTATTTGGACGTGTGCTGCAGCGGAGGCAGTGTTTGCAGATGTATGAGAGCCTGTCCGCAGCACGGCGACCAGCTATTTCACCCTGACAGAACGCGGCCTTCACACACACACACACACACAGTTGTAAAATAGTAACCCCTTCGACTTTAAGAGCGAGTGAAGGTTGTGTCTGCCAGGATGATTCT